TCCTCCTTCAGGATCACTCCTACCCCATTTCTCTTCCTATCCACACTATAGTAAAACAGTTTGTATCCCCCTCCAATACTACGCGCTTTGCTACCCTTCCACCTGGTCTCCTGCACACACAGAATATCTACCTTCCTTCTCTCCATCATGTCCCCCAGCTCTCTACCCTTCCCTGTCATTGTACCAACGTTAGGAGTCCCTATTCTCAGATCTATACTCCTGCCTTTCCTCTTCTCTCTCTGTCTACGAATCCTTCTCCCTCCTCTCCTTCTTCGACCATCAGTAGTCCAATTTCCACCGGCACCCTGTAAGTCAACAGCACTGGAGGCGGTCGTTGTTAACCTGGGCCTCGACCGATTCGGTATGAAATTCGATTTGATGACTCGCATATTTGGTTTTTGGCATATTTTATGCCGGATGCCCTTCCTGACGCAACCCTCTCTATTTACCGGGCTTGGGACCGGCACAGAAGTCACTGGCTTGAAACCTCTGTGGCTAGATTTATTGCTTCATTTGACATGTGGACAATATTTTAAAGTCTGATATGGATTCTGATATGGATTCTGATATGGATTCCACTCCATATTACTGAGTTGACAGTGAGATCACTATTTACCCTTTGAATAAAATGTATGGTTGTAAAGCTACTTTGATTTGTTATTTAATGCAACACCTAAATATTTATAATTACACAAGGAACAAAACAGGTTTAAAGTTTCATGCAAAAACCTTTAGTAGCCAAATTTCCACACTAGTACATTTTTAACAATACTTAAAAACTAATATTTTAAAACTATATAAACCCAATAACAAAGTAAGTCTTAACAAAATACATTACCTACTACTATTTCCAAAATGATAAAACAGTTCCAGTCTTTATGGCCTTTCCTTCTTTGTCTGCTGTCTGGTTGCCACTGTTCCAGATACCTGCTCATAGAGGTATATATTTATACATTCCCCCCGAACCCAGTGGAGGAGAACGGCTCCCAACCAAACGGCTCCCATCGTTCATAATAATGAGCCGTTCAAAAAATTTAATGCGTTCGTGAACGTCAACACTTATGCCTATCTCCAGCGCACATTGAGCGAGAGTCCATCGCGGGGCTTGTCACGGACTTGAACCCGGGACATCTCGCCCCCAAAGCAAGAATCATATCCCTAGACCAACAGGCCATAACAATTGAATAGTGAATTATTTTGCAAAACAAAAAAAGCTACAAAGCCAGTATTTTAGAATGCAACTGAACTGAAAATATCAAGTTCCCTTTCAGTCGGTTCCGGAGACGTTACCCATTCAGTCGGTCTAGTCCCGACTAACGTCTCCGTTCCCTATTCAGGGAACGTGGGGTTACGCAAGTAACCTAGACGTTATTCATCAACAGGCTCAACACAACGCTTTTCTTGTATCATATAGACAAAACCTTTTTAAGAGAATACCTCCCAATGAAAAATTTCATACAGTATTTCTAAAACAGGGACTGTAAAGATATATTTTACAAGATGTGTATATTTTTGTATATATGTGTGCTTAGTATGAACATTTTTGGCTCAGCAGCTTCCCAACGCCGTTCATTCTACATAGTCCCTGGGGTCTCCTCATAACCCTGCAGAAGAACAGCATTCAACCTCTGACAGCTCATCACATATGTCCATCAGCTCCCGCCTGACCTGCTTCCCACAGCTTCATCTGCTGATTTACAATCAGGAACCACTGTAATTAAGGCTTATGTCAGACTAATGAGCCCATTGCCTTCCTGTCCGAGAGCCAGCATGAGCAGAGAAGAAGCCAATGAAGAAGAAGAGTAGGTACAACCTGGCACGAGTCATGAGGATGAGAGAAGTGTGATGGAGATTCAGGTTGCGTGGGTCTTAATTGGATGACTGGCACCATTACAAGGCTTAAGTTGTCCAGTTGTGGCCATGCTGTGTGCCCTCCGGGTGAGATGGAAAATGATGAATGGGAGAAATAAACAGTGAGAGAGGGAGGGAGAGTGAAAATAGAAAATGGATTGGAGGTTGGCTGAATGCAGAAAGAAATGTTCTGAGGATATTATTACAACACAAAAAATGATTTGATGACTTAGTAAATAAATAAATCGAAGGAAAAAAAACAGTATATTTTGCTAAGAATACATTTGTTGAATTGAAAACACTAAAATATTAAATAAAATGTAAGAATGAGCTTGATTTAGGTTCATTAATATTATATACACAACATATACTTGGATTTAACTAATAAAGCTTTGTAATATTTACACAAACTACTAAAGTGCTTGCTATGTAAATTGTACGTCTCGAAGAAACGAATCTACTCATGCGTAGAACAAATCTGCATAGAGAAGAAAACCTGCGATCGGCATCCCGCTCATCTTCATCCTGTAGCTTCATCCTGCATCTTCAAAAAACACTATAGGAACCGGAGTAGCGTGCAGTGACTTCATAAGGACATCATTTTTGCACATCTTTCTGTGACGTTATTGTTTAACTGGGTAGGAGTTACCAGCTTACATTTATAAATTATAAATGTATAATTATGACTTTTTAGTAAAGGTTATTTAACAAGCTTATTTTAAGTATATTTTATTATATAACTGTTATTTTTTACTGTATTAAAATCTATGTTGTAGTCTTAAGCCTAGTAAATGTTTGTAAGTGTATATGTAGTAATTATGCAATCAAGAATAGTGTTGTAATATTTTTCTTTTACTTATAAAATTGATATGTTGCATTTAACTAATTAAATTAAAGTAATTACCTCTCCGTAGAACAAGTTTAATGAAATTAAAACAGCAAATAGTTTTACTTATTTATATTTATTACATCAGATGAAAATAAGTAGAAATTTCTCAAGATTGTACAGGTCAAATAATCTGCACTTTGTTCGTTCATTCATTTTCATAGCCGCTTATTCCCTTTCGCGGTCACAGGGGTCTGCCGATGCCTTTCTCCAGCGCACATTGGGCGAGAGGCAAAGGTACACCATTGAGTAGGAGCCAGTTTATCGCAGGGCTACTTTGTTGACTCAAAATTGTCAAAACGTAGGTTTTACTTAAAATTTTCATCTTTGAAATTTTTTTGAAAACTTAATGAAATTATGAATATTAATATTTTTGGTGCAATATCACTGTACAGCAGGCTGACACAATCCTTAACAATGGTTTGCAAATCTGAGCCATTCACCTTTACTTTCGAAATCATTGTTCAATCTTATTAATCATGCAAGAGTATGTTATATCTAAGTTATACATATTTTACATCTAGCTACTTTTTAGAGCTTCCTTATGCCAGGAAATGTACCTAACAAGGACAATAAGTAGTGTTGTAGTAGTTTAGACCGGTCTTCATCTCAAGACCAATTTTCTATGGTCTCGGTCTTGTCACAGAACCAACAATCACAGTCTTTGTCTTGACTCTTTATGGTCTCTCTAACGTCTCAATCTCGGCTGTCTCTGATCTCGGTCTCCAGCCTTGATCTCGGCTGCACATGTGTTCTTGTGTTTTTAGTACAAGAACAAAAAGCAAGCCATAATACAATATTATAGGCTATTTTTTCATGCCTCCCTTCAAATATGGATAACTTGATGACTTCTTGGTACAAATCAAGTTCTCATGTGGTGGGAATATGCCAAAAACTTTCTTCAAAATGCACAGAGCCAGATCTGAGGGGGTTGTTTTACAATCAAAGAACATGCTGTGCACATCAACATGAACATTGAGTTACATGGCCGACTATAAAATGCAAAAATTGTTATTGTCACGAGGGTTTATGCAATTTCGAGTTTGCTTCAGTGCTTTCTCTTGATCTGCATGTTCATCCTTATACTCACTTAATCTTCGTTTGCAGTCATTATGCTGGGTATTTAAACCCTCATGTCTCTTTGTCAGACTGCTTAGACCAGTGCCAGCTGCTCGTGAGTTTTATGGAGGTTCAGTCTGTTCCGATCTGCTGCTTTATATTGATATTTTGTTTTTAATTATTTTTGCCAGCCTCATGTTTCCAGTAATTACAGAGACAGTGTTGCTTTTAAGGTTGTGTTCTTCTTAAAAAAAAAAGAATAAATAAACCTATGTGAAACCAGCGCTGGTCATTAGTATTGTTTAATACATACATGTTTTAGAAGTTTCATTATACAAGTTTCACTTTAATGAAATTAAAAAAATGTTCAAGATATTCTAAAAATATGACACACACACCTATATTTTAACAGAAACTGCTTCACTTTTTTTAAAACACTGTTTAAATGCTAGGGCTGCAAAGATTTTATGTACGCTTTTGCCAACTGTTTTCAAACAAGCTACTTACCCACATTGTAAATGTGTACAGTACACAAGAAACCAGTATGTTTCCTGTTTCTGGTTTTCAGCACATCACCACATTTTCCTCAGTACTAAACACTCTTTCCGAAGGTGAGCTGGGGGCAGGAATAAAGATTTGTTGTACGCTGGGTGAGCTCTGATTGGTTAACATATTATGTGCACAAGAATGAATCAAAATAAATTAACGGATAAAATTTCAGCCTTGTGCGAGATTATATATATATATATATATATTGAACTACTGCTCACTAAATCTGCTTAACTGTGCAAGTGCAACTTTATTACATAGTTGATGGCAGCAGTTCCTTGTAAACGTTCAAAAGTAACCAAGCCTGTAAAAGCAAACAATAGTCTGTAGACAATTACAGAGAAACTCCAAACGCAAACACGCAAAGAAAGAGAAAACCAACTGGGAATTATCAGAAACAAGCCAGAGAGAGTCTCAAGCCAATCACTCCTTTATAAAATCAATGACAAATGCCTTTCAGCTCATCAGAAAGCAAGAATGAGATGGAGCTATTTTCTCCTCATCTCTGTGAGTGAGGCACTGTTTAAGCCCCAGGGCAGCTCCAAGCCCACGTCCTTTATCAATGATGAATTACCAGGGTTCTGTAGAACCGTACGACTGCATCTCACAAGAAAACTGTGACGTAAAATATGGATGCTCTATGTTGTGGTATTTATCCTGTTTCAGTCTTTTGTCGACGCATTTGCTTGATGTATTCTTTCTTTCTGTCGAAAGTGAGCAGAAGTTGATGCTAATTATGTTTTTTCACGTATCAAATGTTTCACAGCATGAAGCAGAAGTTCTGTGTTCTCTCAGATTATGAGAAAACAGCGCACAGAAGGAGAAAATAATCGTGAATAACTTGATTTTCTCATTTAAAATGAGTCTCAATGGATAAAATGGAAGAACACAGACAAAAAAATATATATATAATTATTGAATCATTGCTCCTTTTACATCTTTGTTGAAGAACCTACATTTACATAATAATTATATGTTAGTTTGAGACACCAATGTCTTATTCACTGTAATATATCACTGTAGTATTTTTAAGTATTTTACAGAAAAGTACAGCTGAAAATACTTTTTAAACGTGTGACATAGATTTGAGATAACATTCGAGCTGTATGACTCTCTTGTCTTCATGGTGACATTTTTGTCTGAAAATAATGAGACAAAATAATCTTTTTTCAAAATAAAGTTCTTTAAAAAAAATGTTTTCAAGGAGCATCGCGAATTATGCCATATATAGTTAATACTTTTTTTTTTTTCTTAAAGTTATGTAAGATAATTTGGCACATATCTAATTCCATAACAATCCGTAATACTTGTACACAAACTATTCCTATCCAGCGATTAAAAAAAACTCAACTATATTAAAAACTGTTTTTTTTTCCCATACATTTAGTTAATTTTAACACAGTGGTTAAGTTTGTATTTTAGAGGCCATATTGTGAAGAGAATGCAAAGAAAAGAGAACAAATGATTGAAAGTCCGCAAGGCATGTTTTATACAAGCATTACTAATGTGCACAACACTACACCCTCAGCAACAGCATAATGAGAGGGAGCGGGCGAGTGAGTCCTTCAATGTTCCCTTCATCTTCCTTTTTTTCACTCCACTTCGGCTAAGGAAGTAATATCACAGTCAATAAAAGCTATGAAAACACACCCCAAACCATAAATCTTTGTCAAGCTGCACGTTATAGAATTTTATTCAAATGAGTTTGTACTGCATGGATGTTATTCCCAAAAAAGCGTTCCCAAACACATCCCAATATTATTCAAACGACACTATAAAACTCAATATATCCACTTCCAAAGAAAGTAACCCCCTTTAAAGTAAAGTA